CGATTTGGGCGCACAGACCATGCACCTAATCAACCGGAACCGGAAGATCTAACCTCCGACGGATTATTGTAGAGCCTCGTAGGGGGCTGTGGTTCTATGTAGTAAACCCTTATTTCCTAAAAGGGCAAATACCCACCTAGAAATGTACAAAAACAAAAATCGTTTTACGCGAGATTACATATGTTTACGCTTATGGGGTGTTCCTATCACTACCTTGAATTTTGACCCAGTGCGCCCTGCGGACTGCCGTATCTACGGAGTATAGGCTACAGACTTTGGCCCCACCAATCATCATCATCACAACATCGGAATACCACTCCATTATGACGTCAAGGTAACTTGCACCCGGATACCCCTGTCGTGTCGAGCGAACATGGAACCTTCTAGAAGCTCACCACACCCAATCATGAGACTTTGGACTTCTGCTTCGAACCCGGATCGTGCCTTCTCAAAGCTGAAGCTCCTACACAGCCTGCTTCACCTACGGCAAAGATGTCTTTCCCTGCATCGGCATTCGACTCCTCGTACGACGATTACGACTGGTCAGCCTTTGATCCGACCGATGCGCTTCAGCATGCGACCAGTCTTCAAAGCGCTCAACACGCACCCGCCAGCCCTGTGGTGGTTGACGTGGAAGATGTTCAGACAGTCTCTTCATGTCTAAGCCCCAGCCCTAGCCTATGTCTCACCCAGGCATCCGTCTCGAGTAACAGTCTTCCCTTGCTGCAGCTGGCTGACTGGGATGAAAACGGGGCCTACGATGAGCAACCGCCAACGTGTATCCATTATTCTATCGAGTGGAAGTTGACAGCAAACAGAATAGTGTCCAAAGACAGCGAACCGGACCTTGTTCTTGCACCGAGCGCATACTGGGAACGAACACTGCGCCAGAAGCTTGACAAGCTGGTAAGGAAGAAACTGCCATCCAACAAATCATTTAGGATAGATGATACCAACATTACCGTGTCTGTGCGAGATCGCTCTCAACGTGACCTTATCAAACGATTCGACGACCTTGATATTGACTGGCAAGTGGTGGAGAAACAGCTTAAGGCCTGGGGCCACCTTTTCCGCGCTGGAAGGGAACTCAGAGTCCAGATGTCTTTCAACTACGTGGAATCAGGGCCCCCAACTGCCGTACAACGAGGAACTAAGCGTGCCTTCTCCTCCGTTACGCAGGATAGACTACACGAACGCGCGGCGCAGCTCGACGCTGAAGAAAGCTCGACGGGGCAGCCATCTGTTTGGCGGCGGGTCTACGCCTTATTGAGATGCCCTGGGCCGCCATGTAATCTGGGACCGCACTGCTGGATTGATAATTATGGCAAGAAGCATTACAAGCTGAAATCGCATCACTTTAGGTCTATTATTCGACACGTGGAGCAGGGCGGTGTGTTGGACAGTCATAGTGACATGCCCGAAGACATTCGCGACCAGCTGTATGCTGAGGAACAGCAACACGTAGAACGACAACGCAAAGCTAGTGCCTCTTCGTCAAGCAATTGCCCACCCATCAATATCACCAACGTCCTGCCGGCCTCTTCACCTCTCGCGTCAACCGTAGGTGCTGCAACTCCTGTTGCAGTCTCATCTCCTGTCTGTTGCAATGTTGCGTTGGCCTTGGAGATTCCAGGGCTGAGAGATGTGGCCGTGCGAAAGTATTGCGAATGGCAGTGCTCCCAGGTGGAGAGTGAAACGCTCAAGTTGGAGTTCTGGAAGGCGTATAAGGCTGCGCTCGATTGCGGCCTTGATCTCGAGCAGGTGCACGAAGATCAGAAACCCGATTTCTTCATCGAACAAGGCGTTAAGGTTGGCGTAGCGCGGCGGTTTGTCCGCGATATTGGAAAGTGGGTTGAAAAGTATAGTGGAGTAATGATGGCTTGCGCATAAGGCAGTTAGATGAAGTTTAGTATTTCGTTACTTCAAGGCTCCTCAATAAAGATACCGGCGTTTCGAAAATGACCTCTAGCGCTTGACTTTCTGGCGCCAACCGTTCGCACGCACCATTTTAGGAACCCTGGGAAGTCTTCGGCAGGGAGGCCATCATGTTGTTGATAGTGTCGCTTGATGAAGCCTTTGAGCTCTGCAAAGCTCTCTTCGATGGGGTTGAGGTCGGGAGAGTATGGCGGGAGGAAGTGAATTTTGACACCTGCTCTTGCACAGAGCTCTTGGATCTTGTCAGAGTGATGAAAAGAGGCATTATCCATGATGATGACGGATTTCGGCTCGGGCCACCTTCCGCAGTAGGGTAGTAGCTCCTCGATGAAGCTTTCAAAAATCGTGCTGTCAGTAGTACCTTGGAAGATATGTGAGTATATAACACCGTCTTGGGTGTAGGCTGGCAGGATCTGGTATCGTCGGTCACGATGGAAGCGAGCGACCTGGATAGGGGTCACTCCCAGGGGAGACCATCCAGTTCTCCGGAAGCCAGCACGCTTGTCGCATCCGGATTCGTCCACGAATACTAGGTGGTAAGAGCGGAAGGCTGATAGTCCATGAAGGTAAAAGTCTCGGAGATCTGCGTTCCTCTCTTGGGCAACACGGCGGGCCACTTTCTTGCTCCAACCAGCCGATGCCAGAGTACGACTGATGCTTGATGCAGTCACCCAAGTTGCGAACTCGTCCCAAAGAAACACAATCATCTCATCTCGATAGAGATCTGGCTTTTCGATTAGTCTGTCGCATAGGGCGCTCAGCATTGGCGGCGTAATGCTCCTAGGCCGTCCAACCCCGTTAGGGGGAGCTCTTGTATCCCCAAAACATTCCAGATTTGCTCGTATGTTGTATACCGTCCGTGCACTACATCCTGCAGCAGTAGCTATGCTGGCATTCGTGAACTGTCCGTTCGAGATCATATCTCGGATCAGCTCGTGTTGCGATGCAGCGAGGTTGGGTGCCATTGCGAGGCGGTTGTCTGGACATGCATTGTCCCCTGTCAAAACGTAAGCCTAGCATACTATACATATAGAGCTATGAAAGGCTAAGCTACTACATATACTGTAAGTAGCAGAGCCGGAATAGCTGATAGAGATATCGTGAAGCTGATTTCCGATATGATTTGGATTATAGCTAGGTTGCCAACCACGCTGGCTTTGGAGAGAAGAGGATTAAAAAACGGATGAATAGTCAAGTAGACATAAGCTAGTTTATAAAATCGAAGCTTGCATTAACTACACATATTTCAGCTGATTGTGGATTCTTGATTATGCAACATAAAGCGTGAGCGCGAAACCATTGCAGAAGCCAAAAGGTGCTCTTTCAGTCTCCCAAGGCCCGACCGATGTTGCATAAGCGTGAAACAAATAAGCGTAATCTCTCTTTTATGAAAATGAGTTGTGTCCATCTGGCTTTGTGCACCAGCTGGCGCCACCTGCTGTCTGCATCCATTTCATGATCACAACTCTCTTCAAAGTGAACAAACCTTCGAGTTGGCGTCAAGTCTGGCGGCCGTACATCTACATGCAAGTCTGTCTTCCTCTCTGAACTCGAACACTTTCTCTTTAAATCAGAGTGGAGTCACAACAGGCTTCAGTACAGTACAGAACACAACGGCTTGAGTACATCAACTCAAATGTGGGAGCTTCTTAGCCATTTATTTTGAGCATAGAAAACGGATAGTGTGACTAGTTAATGACGTTAAGGAAGTCTATGGAAGGTTATGTAACACTATTGAGTGCTGTGGGCGTTTGGCCAAAACTTTAATGCCAGAAGAGAGAAAGACATGGTTTCGTAGTCGTTGCACGTTATCCCCTCGGAAGACTTGGTTACGTTCCTTTGCAGCAATCTAGGGAACTTTCTCCCGCTCAGACGTTTCGCTTCACCACATCAAAATCTGGGTGTTCTAAGAGGTAGGGGTGGGATAGTTGCAGGCATCAACCAGACCAGCTTCTCTCCTATCAACCCCTTGGAATCTTCGCCGTTCGTCTTGATTAAGGTCAGGAATGATTGCCCTTTCCAAAGAATCTCCATTTTACAAGCGGTGTACAGGTTGAGTAAAAACCTGAGTTGATCGGGGCCTCCCTGATTCTCCCTCGAATGATTGTGAGTGTACCGCAGTAGCGGCACAATGAAAACCAGCTTCCTTTCGTTGCGGTTCCGTGTCCTCATCTGTATCGATGGTGGCGTCCCAAACCTCAAGGACAATATTGACATTCAGCTTGTCGACGTCGTTGCTGGCCAGCCAACAGGACAGCATGCTGGAGTAACCCGGTACGTATGATAGTCAGGAAAGTTGCAAGCTGACTAGGGCTGACTAGGGCTATGTGACGGTTTTAGGCCCTCTCTTTATGGCAGTGAGGCAGTAGCATAGAAGCAGTACTGATGGCTCGTACGCTCAGACCTGTTACATGGGGAAACTGTTATACGGAGGCCCGCAGATTCACTGCATTTTCAACTCCACCAGAGACGTGAAAGTCGGCAAACGATGAAATTGGTCTGTGTGTCGTCTTACTAGTAGTCTCCCGTTATGGCGGAACCAGTGGAGGCGAAGATTGTGGTGGAACCGGATAACGGCCCCTCTTCAGCGCCAAACCGCTCGATCTGAGTAGCGAAGTCAACCATCAAAATTCGTACCACATCGGCAGGAAGAGACAGCGCAGGCAGTAAGGCAACGACCCAACAGGCGACGCCATCAGCCCCAATCGACGGGGCTACGGGGCGAACAAGCGACTTAGAAAGAACAGCAGCGGCGGCGGCGGAAACAGCGGAAGCAACGATGGCAGAGCGATGCTTCAAAGGCGTTGGAGTTGCTTGCGAACCTCGCAAGGAGTCCCATTGGCTGAAGGAAGCGTTCATGCAGCAGATGGAAGTAGTACGAAGCCAAAGAGACATGATACGCGATGAGCTTGAAGCTGAACGATGCCACGACGTAAATGAACGAAGAACTGGTCCGTGAACAACCCGAGCCCCTTGCGCCGACTGCGACAGACTCTCCTCAGTTGCACATAGTAGTAGTGATCGACGCTATTCTCGACCGCGTCGAAATCAACTTGACCGGCATGCTAATCTTCATGACGGCTCTTCGCCTTATTGAAAATAGCAGTGTCTGAAGAGCTGATGTTCGTTGCCATGCGATTGAGCTGCATTGTCTTAATATTCTCGATTCTGCGGCTGTGCAGAATACTCATATCGTTATGTAGGATTTCAGTGGTTCGAAGTAATTCTTTGCTTTGCTCAAGAACGTCGTCGAGATCATCTTGAGGACCCTTGGACAAAAGGAGCGCTTTCAGGGACTGAAATTGTTGCAACTGCTCCTGACTAGTCGATACGATTCTGCTGCCTAGATTAGGAGAGTGCGTCGCGCATGGAACATGATATGGGTTTTCTCCCTTTGCATCAGCCGATGCTCTCTGCATAATGAATGTAGTGATGTTGACAAGGAACGCAATGAGGTTAATAGCGTGGCATGTGGGCGAACCGGCACAGAACTGCTCAGAAAGGTGATGTGTATGTGTGAAAACTAAGATTGACTAGCGGTGGTGGAGGAGGCTGGCAATAGCCGGTGGCCGGCTGGCTGCGGGTGGTGTGCCACCACGTGCCACCTCGCAGAATGCCGCCACGGCGTGCGCTCTCGAAAAAAAAAAATTGCTCACAGTTGAAGTGGCGTTGCTTAGTCTTTCAATTTGCCATTGGCCGTGGGGTGGACCTGCTGAGTTAACCCACCTTAGCCGCACCTAGATTGGTTCGTACTCCTGCCGCTATTTTCAAACTCGCTTATCGCACTATTCATGGTCAAGCATTCCCAATGCTGCGGAGCGTAGTTCAGTCCAAGTCTAAGTCTGCCCTGCGGCCATCCGCCTGGCAGGACGGAGCTTGACACAAGGGCTATAGACAGATGGCTCGGTTCGGCCCGGTCTAATCGCGTTTGATGGGTCTTTGTCAGACGACCCTGGCACATAAAGCGGAATGAAACGGGATGAAGCATGGGTCTGCCAGTGTTTGAAACCCCAGGGTGGCTTTGTGATTATGACTAAGCGGCACGTGCTGGTAGGCAATCCTACTATCTACATTAGCCTCAGACTTGAAGGCCGTTGCGTGAGCCTCTGTTACCTAGCATGTCTGCATTCCTGTATACCACGTCTGGCACCATTTTAGGCACATTGGCAGCCAATATCAGAAATTGCCGTCCACAACTACTTCTAATAGTATGATACCTCTCAACTCTTCCTCAGACTATACCCGAGATGGAGAGGTTTGCATGAGCCACTAAAAATGGATACTGTATGATGTGTAGGCTTTTGATAAAATGTGCAATAAATTGGGCTTTGTTTGCATGTGATGCGCTTTGGCTTGTCCACACGTAGGACGGCTTTGGTTGATATAGCCTGTGTTAGAATTAGTAGGGTTAGATGCGGGAATTGGTGAACGAGTATTAACCTCCCACAAAGTTTGGAAACCAATGGCCTTCTAGAATGTTTCGCTGCTTAGCAAAGACAGGGTTTGACGGATAGGTGACGTTATAGACATCGCAGAGTATACCTCGTGAAGAAGTTGAATCTCACTTACATACAACCTCAATCGCTCATTCAATTATGCGTTACGGTGACTAAGTCTTGGTCTTTAGCTAGCTAGTTTTACACCTGTTGCCTCGAGACCGTCGCTATCTTCGGAAGTGAGTGGCGGCTTCCATGGGCTGTTTGTATACTACCAGGACCTGTTTGATGAGCACATGTGGCCTGTGCGTCACACGTGGCAACTTCCCCATTATTAGTCATTATCTGCTAGCTAACCGAACTTGGAGCTGGCCCCTCTGCTTGGCTTCAGGTGTCCTCACCGTCTGAAGTCCTAGCTCTGAATTTCAGTTCAACCGGGATCAATCTACGAGATCCGGCCGGGGCGAACCGAGGAGATCCGCAGAATAAGTCTCAACCTTATTTGGCAGCAATGCCTACGGCCTCATCTGCCACAGGCACTACGGAGTCATGCGACTCTTAATACATTGAGCTGTTCTCAGCTATCGTCTTGGGCAGCAATTGAGCAGGCTATTGGTTCGCTTCACCCTGGTGGACAGCCCTGTATGTATTCGGTGCACAGAAGAAGAGCAGCCAATCACACCGGCGACCTCCAACCGTGGTTGGTCTGACGGCATCTCAACTTCTCGCATATGACCCCTCCCGATCAGGCTGAGGACGATAAGAACAACTCGTCATACGGTCCCGTCGGGCAATTGTTCAAACCAACAACTCTGCAACATCAACGCGTCTTGCTATCTTACATGGGTTTCCGCATCGACGTTTCTTCGCTGGTCTCTGCTACAGAGTTGATGCACTATGCCGAGGTCTATTCCTGCTCGCGACTTCACTGTCGGCTGGGTCTGCGCGCTGCCCATCGAGCTGGCAGCCGCGGCAGAAATGATGGATGAGGAGTATGCTGACCTCCCGTCCCAGCTGTCCGACTCGAACATCTATTCCTTTGGCCGCATCGGCGTCCACAATGTCGTGGCTGCCTGTCTGCCCGCCGGCCAGATGGGCACAAACCAAGCGGCCATCGTCGCAAGCCAAATGAAAGTCAGCTTCCCGTCGTTGCGGTTCAGCCTCCTCGTTGGTATCGGCGGTGGCGTCCCAAATCTCGAGAACGACGTCGACATTCGGCTCGGCGACGTCGCTATTAGCCAGCCGACAGGACAGCATGGTGGAGTGATCCAGTACGATTTCGGGAAGACTGGGGCTGACGGTCGCATCGCTCGCGCCGGCAGCCTCAACGCGCCACCGACGATCCTTCTCAATGCCCTAGCTAAACTGCGAGCGAGCGACGTCCGAGGCAAGACGCAAGTCCACGCGTACCTTTCTCAGGTGTCTAGTAAGCCAGAGTTTGCATCGCCTGGCCCCGGCAACGACACCCTATACCATGCATCATCGCTTCATGCCACTGGAGCTACATGCGCAAAATGCCGTCCAGAAGACGTAGTAAGCAGGGAACCACGTGCGACAACCAAGCCGGTCCTCTTCTTCGGCAACATCGCATCGGGGAACCAGGTGATGAAGGACGGACTAACGCGCGATAGGCATAGTCGGGAGCTTGGAGGTGTGTTATGCTTTGAGATGGAAGCAGCTGGGTTGATGAACAACTTCCCTTGCATTGTCATTCGTGGCATCTGCGATTATGCGGACGCACATAAGAACAAGCGATGGCAGCCGTATGCAGCGGCAACGGCAGCAGCATACGGCAAAGAACTGCTAACTACCATCCCGGCGCTGGTTTCGAGTAAGCTAGATGAGAAACAAGATTGTAAGTAAAGCCTTGTGGGGTATATTATATATATTCAATATAACTACTGATGCCTATTAGCTCGTCTAAAAGCTTACTTTATCGTCCCATTTGGTCGGAATGAAAACTTTGTTGGCAGAGATGCCATCTTAGTACAACTTCTCGAAAGGATTCCCCCGAGTGCTTATAAAGACACCTGCCAAAAGACAGCCATCGTCGGCCTCGGAGGGGTTGGCAAGACACAGGTTGCTATTGAAGCCGCCTATCGCGTTCGCGACGCACACCCCGACTGTTCTGTGTTCTGGGTGCCGGCTGTCGACACGGTGATGTTTGAGAACGCATATCGCGATATCGGTCGAGCGCTTAGCATCCACGGCATCGAAGATGACGAAGCGGATGTCAAAGGGTTGGTTAAAGCCGCCCTAGAACGGGATGGTAATAGGAGTTGGCTTCTCGTTATCGATAACGCCGACGACATGGAGTTGCTCTTTACCAACTCCAAGTTAGCAAAGTATTTTCCCTCTAGCAGAAAGGGCTCTATTCTGCTTACGACTCGTAACGAGCAGGCGGCAACAAGATTTAGCCGTGGTCGCCCTCTATACTTACGGGAGATGGGCAGCATAGACGCCACTCAACTCCTACATAGTGGACTAGACGAAAGCCAGATCAGCGACACTCGGATCACTACAGAGCTGCTAGGGCATCTCGCTTATCTACCTTTAGCTATCCGACAAGCATCAGCATATATGGCTTCGAACAAGAGTGTGACGGTGTCTAAATATCTCAGGTATTGTAAGGATAGTGATGAGAAACTAGTGGGATTGCTCAGCAAGGACTTTGAAGACGAAGATCGATACGACAATATCCAGAACCCAGTGGCCAAGACATGGCTAATCTCGTTTGAGCATATCTCAAGGGACAACCGGCTAGCAGCAGAGTACCTCGGCTTTCTATGCTACCTCGCGGAGAAGGACATCCCCCTAGCTCTTTTGCCGCCTAGTGAGGATGGGATAGACACCGATAACGATATGGCGGCGGAAGAAGCAATAAGCATGCTAATGGCCTACGCGTTCATCCAGGAGCGGGACACTAAGGGAAGGATTGATATTCATCGACTAGTGCGCTTGGTGATGCGCAACTGGGTAAGGGAGAAAGGAGAGGAAGAGGAGCAAGTGACAGAGACGATTTACTGGCTTAGCGAGAGGTTTCCATGGCCGGATCACGAGAATAGGGCAGTGTGGATGACGTACTTGCCGCATGCGCAAGCGGCACTTCGATTCCAGGATTGGTGCACAGACGAGGAAGCATTATGGGATCTGTTGGCTACTACAGGGCGAAGCAATGAGCTACTTGGAAAGTATGGTGAGGCGGAGCAGATGCATCGACAGACACTGGAGTTAATGCAGAAGGTGCTGGGACCTGAAAATCCCTCCACACTCACCAGCATGAACAACCTAGCAGGCGTGCTTAAAAGCCAGGGGAAGTATGAAGAGGCAGAGCAGATGCATCGTCAGACACTGGAGTTGAGTCAGAAGGTGCTGGGACTCGAGAATCCCTCCACACTCACCAGCATGAACAACCTGGCACTCGTGCTTAAAAGCCAGGGGAAGTACGAAGAGGCAGAGCAGATGCATCGGCAGACACTGGAGTTGAGGCAGAAGGTGCTGGGACTCGAGAATCCCTCCACACTCACCAGCATGAACAACCTGGCACTTGTGCTTGAAAGCCAGGGGAAGTATGAAGAGGCAGAGCAGATGCATCGGCAAGAACTAGAGTTAAGTAAGAAGGTGCTGGGACCCGAGAATCCCTCCACACTCACCAGCATGAACAACCTAGCAGGCGTGCTTAAAAGCCAGGGGAAGTATGAAGAGGCAGAGCAGATGCATCGGCAGACACTGGAGTTGATGCAGAAGGTGCTAGGACTCGAGAATCCCTCCACACTCACCAGCATGAACAACCTGGCACTTGTGCTTGAAAGCCAGGGGAAGTACGAAGAGGCAGAGCAGATGCATCGGCAGACACTGGAGTTGAGGCAGAAGGTGCTGGGACCCGAGAATCCCTCCACACTCACCAGCATGAACAACCTGGCACTTGTGCTTGAAAGCCAGGGGAAGTATGAAGAGGCAGAGCAGATGAATCGGCAGGCATT